ATGTGTGGTTAAAAATGAAGGAAAAGTTATTGATGTGATGGAAAATATTATTTTATTAAAGCATGTGTGATTGAAATGAGTAGAAGAATGAGAATGAAAAAAATAATGTGTACCAAACAGTGCCTAATTTTAATCTTGCATTCACTTTAATTAATAGGTCTTGTTTTTATATGTAGATTATTTAATTTATAAAAATAAAATTATAAATTTTAATTGTTTCAGTTAAGGTCACAATAATTAGAATTAAAACTAAATCAATCTCTGTGGGCAAAATCCATTTCACTACTTGTTAACGAACTGTACACTTGCGGTGATTTTAAAACGAACAAATATTTTCGTGAACAAGTTTTTGAACACCCCTAAACTTGAGCTATTGTTTGTCCTCAAACAAAATTGACTCCACATAAAACATGGTTTGACAACCTCCCGTGTCTCAAGATTGGAACTTAGTAATTAAAGAATGAACAGCTTCAACAGTGCAAAATTAAATCAATCTTCACTTGTCATATGCATAACTCGATGTGTGTGTGTGTGTGAAAACTCATGTCAACATATCAAGCTCATGACTGGCTCAACATTCTGACTCATAGTAGTTAAATATTTTCTTACTTCACTCAAGAGATATACACTCCCCAAACTTATGTTTTTCACTCATTTTCTCGGGGTGCACCATAAGTTGAACTTATTCAATTCTATTCTTTACCCTCTCTTAGTTTGGATATATCTTATTATTGCAAGTTCACACTTCAACAAGTCGAGATTCTCTTATATTTTTTATTGCTTCAACTTTTAAGACTAAACTAAGTTACTTGTCTCGCATAACAGGTATAATTCTATCAACCAAATGTCTTGGGGCTAAATCAATATACTTATGTAATTTTTTTTTATTCATGTTCTCTCTCTCTCTCTCTCTTTTTCAAATATCTTTTCATTTGCTTTCTATATAACCCATGTAGCGAATTTTAGGCCGATGACTCTTAAATCAGATGACCATAGGGCACTAGGTTTTAAACCACCCTTACGGCTTAATCACCCGAATTATACAAGCTAGGAAAAATGCTTTTATTCACTCAAAAATAATTTAGCATAACATAATATTGAAATTTAACAAGTAAAAGTGGAACGATATCACCGAAAATTGACGAAACGTAATTAATTTGGGCTAAAATTCCAGCTGCCGCCACTTCTTTCCTTTAGTTCTTCTCTGCGTGTCTTCTCTATCTCTGCTGCTTCAGTTCCTATAGTGTATTTAATTTAGCCCCAAAAACCTGGTTTTCTTTTATGTCTGCGTGTGTATAAATAATCTCTCTTAGCCGCCAATTAGTTGTAATCTAATTAGGCTTCCAAGTGCTAATTGAAGTCCTAGTCCAAATACATGTCTAGCCCATTAACTTTGTGTTTCTTCAAGTCATCTCATCTTTATAATTAATGCAATTTAGTCCTTCAATCACTATAGTGTAGACTTTAATCCCAAAAATTGTAAATTTCATTCAATTTCAGCATTCTTCCTTTTCCAATTGCTTCGAACAAATCCATAACTAAAAGAAAAGAAAATTAACCCAAGTTAAGTAAAAATTAATAATTTGACGACATGAAATCCAAGTAATATAACTCAAATAAGTACACAAAATGCACTTATCAATAGGGGATGGTGAAAGCACTATTGTGGATGTATTTCATTGATCTCGATGTAAGAAACCCCACTCCTCAGAAAACGATTCCGACAATTGGAATCCCACTACCCCTTGAACACTTTGAAGGTAAATATTTGGCTGCATGTTTTAAATTTTATTTTCATATAACTATATATTTTGAATCATGTTTAGTGTACAATCATAAATGATAATCTTGTTGACAACATGCCAAGTGACAAACTGTTATCTTCATTATGCTCAATAATTTCACGCTCGAACCGCTTCAATCCACCCTAGGCATCATAGCATATCATGAATGAGGACATATTAGACATAAGCGCTCCTTGGGTTGGGGCTGTGCCACTCTGCCTTTCAACGAATACACAGTCGAGGTAACAAATCATGAACGCTATAGGTGTGGTAGCAATCTGGTTAGGAAGTATAAGACAACACCTTGAGCTTGCATATGGGTAGCAAGAGGGCCTCTTTGAAGATATTTTCAAATCATAAGCGATGTTAAAGGCTTGATTTGATTGAAAGGAAAATTGAAAGATATTCCCAAGAAAAAAGTAATAAAATTATTTAAATCTTTGTATAATGTAAATGAAATGAAAATGGATCAACATAAATTATTTACGGACGTCTTTATTTAACATTTATTTTTTTATTTAATTATGCTACTTTAAAGTATCACACTAACCCTACATCTTGTCTTTCATCCGGTTTTTTTATTACTTTTTTTTTCACAAATATTGCATTTGATTGTAAACTAAATCCCTTTTCATTTTTCCCTACGGTGTGATGTGATGGGTTACAAGTTAATGTTGGAGTAGATTTGTAATATTGACAAGGGAATAAAGTCCCACACGATCAAAATGATATAACCAAATTCTCGGTATTTAGATATTTCCAATGTCCCACAAGTTTGTGGTTGCTTAAATCTTTGTCGATTCAATTTCTCAATTTTTAGACAAGACGTGAACTCGACATTTTTGTCATCCCTATCCTTTTGAACCAAGATGGACTAGAAATATAATTAAATCATTAGTCAAGATTGGGGGATAATTAATAGAGATTTTAAAACAAAAGGAAAAGCTATCAATAATAAAATGTTGGTTCATAGTCATGATGATATATCATATTTTGACATATGCGTTGGTTACGTATGCACCTGTCTGATAGAGATTAAAATTAAATTTTAGTAGATTTTAATAAAAAAAATTATG